AGGTCCCGGAAAATTTAATTGTGAAAATCGTATTTTGAATTTTTATTCGGAGACCCGATGGCGAAGTGAAAATTGAGCGCCAAAATTTGCTTTCCGCGCTTTGCAGTCAATAGGGCATACCTGTAGATTTTGATTCTCTTTTGAACGTGATATCATGCATCGAATTTGGACAAGAATTCAATTTTTGGGGGCGACCGGAAGTCAAATGTCGCAACTAATATGGAACAGAGGAAGTACTACGTAGTACAGTACTAGCAATTGAGTTGAGAATATTATATTGAATTATACTCCAGAGTATAATTTTATGCTCCCGTTTTATATTGGATGGTGCCACTCAACGACAAATACGGTAGTAGTCTGCAACTATAAACTCGTTTATGTCCAAGATACACAAACTTTGTTGGCTGGGACGAAATACATTAACGAACCGACCAAATCTTACACAAGGGTATATATATATACATGCATGTGGTATTCCATACTGGTGACGACGTGGGTTTCGACGGATGGTTGAAATTGAAAATCAAGCCAAACACTGGAAGGCGGACGCTGGCCGTGTCCGTGCGCAGCACTTTACTACGCCCGACCATCACTTCAATCCACGCGCCGGCCTGCTTTTGCCCCGTGCGTTCATACAAGTCCAAGTAAAACTGACTGATCACTGGCTCATGCGGCTTGTCCAGGGCTCGAATTTGGTAGTACTGAACGTCAGGGTGCCACGTTTCCTCTGGCTTTTCAGCGGGCTACCACCACGACCACATCACCCTAAGCTAGCCTCCCCATCGAATCCACATACAACCAGCTTACTTCGATGCGGATCCCAAACAACTCCCGGGCAAACGCAAACAACCCGTCCAGCACCTACATCCTCGAAAAGTGACACACAATCATATTGTTCAGCAACGCTTGACAGCGGCTTCTCGTCGCTGGACGGACCCGCGAAAGCGAAAAGTATGCTTTCACCACGTCGTCTTGCAGGTCGTATCTTTGCTTGCGAAGTTTCTCGACCCTGTATCGTTCATCGATCAAAAAAATATTATTTCCGTTAGAACGTTGTATATCTAAAATACACTCGGGGACGAATGGCCGTTGGGTCGATTCGAAAGTGGATCAATCAATCAAATGAGCAGAAGAACCAAATCGGCAGACAATCGATATATCGACCAATCAAAACCCACAACACGAATCAAATCCACTATTTGACGCGCCATTTCAATATTGTGAATTTGAAATTAGTGTGACAGTGGACGATGGTTATACACCCAAAAGGCAGTGTAAATAACGTTACAATGAACCGATCGATAGATTGTTGGCAAAGAATCAGCACAAAAGTCCAACATTGGGGTCAAAAGCCAATACCAAAATGCAAATGTCCCAATGCTGCAAGGGCTGTAGCACTGCGGGAGGAAGCGTTTGTAGTTGAGGGCAAAATGCACAATGAATTAACTGAAGATCTACAAAGATCTCCTTAATCCTCATCACTATGAAATCTTCTTAATCTACTTCACTACTTCTACACTAATATACTTCACTACTTCTACACTAATATGCACTTTTGTATACAATGGATGCGGGTGCGGTTGAGACATTGGGGAACTTCACTAGGCTAGCGATTCTAAGCCATACTTGCCCTTGAGACACATTCCCAGGCAAGCATTAGCTAGGGTTCGTCATGAGCCAGGCACTTAGGAGCTGGGTGCGGGCAAGGTGGTGGCAAGCCGTTAACCCACCTGTC